TTTTTTAAAAATTATTTATTTAATAACCACATACTTAGAAGAAGCATTTCATTACATCAGCATTGACATATTCAGTAACAGTTTTCTGAGCTACGATGCAACTCTTACAAAATTGGCTGTACATTTTTAGGTTTACAGTTGAATTATTACAGTTATGCAATATTGTACTCAGTATAAACCCTATAAGACATAAAACTGAATGAGGTTTTAACCTTTAAAGAAGATCTCCATTATTAAAATACAGACTTTAATGCAGAAAACTTCATTTTTAATGCAATTGATATTAAGATGTTTGCACATGGCATTTCTAATCTCTCTATATCAGATTATTACTAGTCACAGTTTGTTACTTTCTGACCTCCTTGACATCTGAGCATGGATATAAAGGCATCAGGTAGATTTCAATGATAATGTTTTTCACATCTACTGATTATTAAAGGAGCAAATTTTTATGCTTTGAAGAATTTTTTTAATCATTTTTTTAATTTTTAGTAACTACAAGATTAGAAGCTTTTCACTACAGCCTTAACATATTCAGTAACACAGTCCAGAGCAACAGTACATCTCTTTCACAAGTGGATGCAAGTTTCTGGGTTCGCAGTTGAATTGATACAGTTATATATTATTGAACTCAGTATAAGCCCTGTAAGACATAAAATTGGATGAGTTTTTAACCTTTAAAAAAGATCTCCATTTCATTTTAGAATATGTTGTTCCTTGCAGAAAGACTCATTGTGTTTGCTATTAACACTGAGATGTTGGTGCTTGCATCTCTAATCTGCATGTATCTGATTATTACTAGTCATAAATGGTTGCACTTGGATCCTTGGAGCCTGTGTATGTCTGTAAAGTCATCGGGCAGATTTCAGTGGTATTGTTTATCACCTCTACTAATTAGCATGACATAAATTTCCATGCTTCCTCCTCAAATATAATACATTTTTTAATTTGTTGATTGTGTGTGTATGTGTGTCATTAGACTATAGCACCCTCCCATAGCCTCCCTCCCCCGAGTAGATCCCTTATACTCTATCCCTGCTACTGTCTGCTGTGTTGTTGGCACCCCCAGCCATTCCCACTACTTGCCCTTCTGGTGAATCTAGTCAGCCTACCTAGAGGGAGGTCAGCTGTTGCTCATCTAGTAGCAATCAGTTGTCAATATTCCTTTAGATAAGATTGGGGTCTGATGTTCATTTTCCCAATTCTATGCTGGGTTACTATCTGGGAGTCCCTTTGGCCACCCTGGCCAAGAACTCAAAAGAAGGTATCGCCTGTCTAGCATTGTGGCCTTTATCTATGGATGTGGACTCTTAAGAAATTATATTGACCCCTTTAATCTTTGGTTATACTCTCCTTTTGGGTGTTCAAGGCCATAAAGTTGGCCCAGATAAACCAATTTATCTTTACTCTTAAGGTCATTTAAGGATCTGTTCCTCAGGTGTCACATGGGCTTGGGGGGAGCCCCTGGCTCCTTTCTTTTACCAGT